CGGGAAGTTAAAAATCAATCATTTTTATAATTGAACCAGTTTCCTTGGGACTTTAATGGTTTAGTATGTTCATAAAGACCAAGTACTCTATTTTTATACCAAGTAAATCGTCTAATTTTAATAAACGTCAAAAAAACTACTCATTGTCTCAAACTTTAATAAATTTTTAAAATTAAACTACTTGTCGTAAGACCGTAATATTTTAGTAGGTTCTTAAGACAATATATCTCGCCAAAAAGATTCCATGAAAATCGGCTTAATTTTTTTTCAACAGTTAATTACAAGAAAACGGCTCGGTAGATTTTCACCTAAACCTAATCAGTATCATTCCCAACTAATATCTTTCGAACAGTTTTTGATTTTTTAAAATCGATTCGGTAGTATGAGCTTAAATGTAGACGAAAAGATCAACACTTTTTTCCAAATTACAAAGAAAAGGCTCGGCCGATCGTCGCACACAACTGACAAACGATAATCCTCATTGAGATACATCAAATGGCTTTTAAATTTCTGAAATCGGTTCAGTCGTTTGTGAGCAAACCTCGATGAAAGGTCTAATTTCGACAAAGGCCAAAAAACGATACTAATTTTTGCAAACTTTGACGAATTTTTAAAATTAAACGACCTGTCGTAGTATGATCTATAAGACTATGGTATCTACCGTCAAAGAAAACATCATAAAAATCGACGAAAAACATTTTTTTAACACTTTATTACAAGAAAACGGCCCGGCCGATCTTAACCAAAAACTAATCAGCACGATTCCCAACCAATATGTTTCAAACGGTTTTTGAATTTTCAAAATCAATTCAGAATTAGGGGCTAAAACGTGGACGAAACTTTTTTCCATTTTTCTGCAATTTGCAATGGAACGGTTCGGCCGATCGTAGCGCAAACCTGACAAACGATAGTCCTCATTAAGATACGTCGAATGGCTTTTAATTTTTGAAATCGGTCCAGCCGTTTTTTTGAGAAAACGTCGATTTACGGCAAAAAATCTGTTCACGCACACGCACACACAATTTTTCCAAATTTGGTCTCATTCGATTCAGAATAGCTTGAAACGTCGAGAAAACATAAAATTAGCGAATCGGATTTTTTGATAAAAACAAACTTCTCCTTCGTTAATAATAAGAAATGAGTGATCTATCGCACAATATTTCTCTTGATACATATATAATGCATAAAATTTAACATTACATCCCTGAACTTCCTTTAATATGCAAAAAAAAACGAAATTAACATAAATTTTACGAATGTGACATTGGTCTAAGCAATTTTAATTATATTTAAAATTGAAATATTACAAGTTGTACAAAAAACAGTTATATTTAGTAGCAAATGAACCGGTTTCATTATTTAGACAAAATACTGGTTTTTGAATAAAAAAGCGACACGAGAACTTTGACATGTTCCAAAAAGTCTAAATTAATGTGCTCAAAATTATATTTGATAAAGTTTAAATCCAAATATAAAACCGTTTGAAATTTAAAATATCATTTAAAGCAATAGAATCTACTAAAAATGTCTTAAATCTCTATATAGAAAATATTTATCACTTTTCATACTTATTTTGTTATTAAATCAAAATATATTTCCAAGTGAAAATAGCCCTTAAAAAAATCACCATTGGAAAAAGTTCAAGCAACCTTCTAATATTAAATAAATAAGAAAAACTGGCTGGGGAGCATTATTACCACAATAGAACTCGAAAATAAGTTTCTAAAACAACATATGCAATTTAAATATACAATAAAAAAAAATTTATGAACCATTTTTTTATATCACAATTGCAGACTTTTAGTAAGCACTTTATTTTTAGATTATATGTAGTACCTTTTTTATCTACGATATTTTATTTTATATTTTTCGATCTCATACTTTTCGCTTTTGAGCATTGTATAAAATTCTATTCCACTTACTTCATGATAAATTAAAAAAATAGCAGTTCGGTTTTCATAATTTTTGATAATTTACCTATAAATTTTTGAAATACCAGTACAATCCGGTATCAGATCTGAATCGCTTTTAGAAAAACCCGGGACACAAGGTGAAAATCTGGGTCTGCCCCCGACCAAACCAGGACTTATGGTCACTTTACAAAAAGCTGCTTATAAATTATTATAATGCCTTAGATGGAGTTATACCCTTTATCAACTGTTGCTATTTAAATTCAGTACATAACTATGATGTGTAACAATCGTATATCCTTGCCATCCCTTATTTTCTTCAGCCCTTTGGTTATATTTTGTAAATATACAAAAAGCAAAAAATGCAATCTCAACATAGATAACTGTACAGTCACTATTAAAGTTTGTATAGTTAAAATTTCAAACGTTAAAATAATCCTAGATATATTGACATGAGTAATCATTAAAACATAAAACTAAAATAATATCACAAAATAGCAACTAGCTGTAAGTGGAATTCTGTCTTAAGGCAATTAGAGCATCGTGCCTTAAGGCAAATTGCTGGAACTTCCCGTACCAAAAGTTATTATTTTTTTTAAAAATGATTAAAATTGAAAAATTGAAAAAAAATTACTTCGAAAAAATAAGATTTTTGAGAAACTATAAATTGGACAAAAAATTACTTTTTTTTGAAAAAAAATTTTTCAATTTTTCAAAAAAAAATGTTTTCTTTATTTTGACATATTTTGGAAGATCTGAACTTGTTTTTCAGAGCAATCGTACTGCTTTAACTGCATAGAGACGAAATATAAAGCGCGTAAGCGCGGCGTTGCTGTCTAACGGGTAAACATTGATACGGAACCCATAGGAAAATAAACAAAATTTATACTTATTGTTAAAATCTCTATAAAATATCTGAAAATTTGATGTGCATATGTCTAATGATCATTTTTGACCGCCAAATGGCATTTTTTTTACTTTTTTCGTTATATCTCCGAAACCGCTAGACCTGCCTTTATGAAAATTTGATCAATTCTTTATCTTGTCAATACAAGTAAAATGTTTTTTGAATTATTAAAATCGGACGCTCCGTTCTCTTAAAAACTGAGTTACCGTTTTCGGCACTTTTTGCCCCGTATCTCCGAAACGGCTAGACCTGCCTTTGCCAAAAACTAATCAGCACGTCTCCTTATCAATACGAATCGAATGTTTTTTGAATTATTCAAATCGGTTGATCCGTGTTCCCGAAATCGTCGACGAAAATTTGTATCCGCACATACATACACACACGCACACACACACACACACACACACACACACACATACATCCATTTTTTCTAAGGTATGCCAAAATATTCAGAAACCTCTGAAACGTAAAGATATATAAAAATTTTCATTTTCGATTTTTTTGCGATTACTATAACTTACCCTACGGGAAGTTAATAATATCAAAAAATTTCATATTTTTATTCTGCCAGTAAGATTTTTCAAAAAAAAAAAAATCGCTCAAAGCTCGTATCTCAAAGTTTGCTCGTATGTCGAAGCAACGTGCTCGCCTTTGGCGGCATATGTGCAATTTAATATATTCGAAACCAACTATACTGAATATTCTAAATAAAAAGTAACATGAAAACTTGTATACTTGAATTAATTTGTCAAAATAAGTGCAAATTGGCGATCAAAAAGCGTATACACTCACCAATTATTTATTTCAATTATAGTAGAATTATACCAATATTAATTTTATGTTATATGATGGGCAAATTAATCTTCCATCAAAATAATCACAAACTGTTATTCAACATGTTCATCAACTTGAAAATTGCTATGAAATTTATAACAAATTTTAACAGATTTAATACTATTTAATGTTTCTACTTTTGTATTGTAATACAATCTTATTTGCTTATCGGATATGAATATAATCACATAGTTATGAAAATGATTATCAAATTCATTCAGGCTAATATACAAACTAATGGTATTTCATCAACTAGATGAAACCAGCAATCGAGAGGAAACAATTTGAGGCAAGTATTTTAATAACCTCAATCTATTGTCTTTTAAAAAAACTTTATTTATCCAATATGCGACTTTACCAGAAGATATATTGCATATCAATAGTGCACTAATCATCGATAAAAGTTCCTATGAAGAAAAACTTGGATAAAGAAATATCTCTGCAAGTATTCAGATAAATTCTTCAAAAAAAACAATAACAACTCATAATTTGCAAGTAAAAATTTTACTTTAACTGTTTAATAATTTTATTTTTGTATTGTGTTCTCAAAGATTGTGCAATGTGCAATGGAAAAAGTGTCGGCAGTTCTTTCAAGCACGAACAAATTTTTGGAAAAAATGAGTAATGTTCTATTACTGAACATCAATAGAAATCATTTAACTGGTTTTATTACAATAAAAGCTTTTTATTCCGATATTAGTACTGGAAGTAAACCAAAGTTATTAATATATATATTCCTTTAGTACATTTTTGGTATATCGTGCTTGATAATATGTTACAAAATAAAATTAAATCATCACACTATATATTATGTTAGTAAAAACAACGAAAAATGAGCCAGTAAAACAAAGGATCATTTAAAGGTAATATATCTCTCCAGATTTTAAATTCAAACAAACTCGGCAAACAAATTTTTAATAAACAAAGAATTATTAATATTACTTGATGTATTCAATACATTGATAGTTTTGTCAATATTTACCTAACTTAATTTAGAAAAGCAAAACAATGCCAGCAAAAAAAATCATTTCACTTTATTTTTAAAGATATTAAATCTTAAAATCTCTTTAAAATTATCTTAGCTACTTTTATTTATAAATCATCGACCTACAAATTATTACTGATTAAAATTTTATTGACCCGTTCCTTATCCCAATTAATTTATTATTGAGAATAAATAAACCATTACTTAATATTGAAGAAAAAATATTGGATCAAAGATATCTGTTATGTTTGTGTTTTACATTGATTTACTTTTTGTTTTTATCACTAAGCTATATGAAAATGTCAAAATGAATAATATTAAAAATAGATTACCTTTAAGTTGTGGCAGTTGTTGTAATTCGACATCCTGTGAATTTCTATATCGGGATGATCCCTGAGACTTTTTACTTTTTTTCTTAAGTGATCTCTTTGCAAATGGGTCTATTCGATCCACAAATGTACCCGACATCTTCACTAAATTGTAAATACTCAATAGGTGCGATGAAGAATATCAGAAACAGAAAATAAACAATATCACTTCTTCATAGTCATTGGTATAAATACTTAACTTTACAATTATATATTTCAATATCCATGCATTGGTTTGGTGTTTGATTAAAAAAATTTGGCACTGAAGAATTTAGATTCACATGTACTTATTTATATTTTAAAATGACTATTGGTCCACGAAATAATAATGGATGTAGTAGAAAAATGTTTGCACTTTTGATTAAATTCACTTATATTTCACCACAGTTGATAGGTTAGGTAGATGCTGGACAAATTCAGTGACACCAACTGCAAATAGAGAGCAATTAGTGTTATATTCAATATTGCATAATATGATTTCGGATCATTGTACAACAATAATATTTCAATGGCCTTATAAAATGAGCCTTAATTTCATGTGTTAATAAGACAGCCCGAAAATGCAATACAATGCGACATCTATTCCTAGAGTTTGACATTCCTTATACTAATACAGACACATAAGTAGAAAAGTAATAAAAAATACTACATCGATGATTCGTTGTATTACATCAGTTATTTATGATGATACTTTTAAGACAAATTCAAAGAAATCGCTCCACATAGGCGTGCCGCCACCGCATTTACAATGTCAATCGTGGCTATGCATTTTGACTGGCCGCTTGAATACGAAAAAATACACCCAAAAATAATTTCATCTCACCTTTGAAACGATTCATTTATCCAATTAAACACTAATGCTAGAGAATACTTTTATTTCACAGCGAATGTAAATATGATAATTTAAATTAAATTAAAAACTCTTTTGGTTGGCGACGAGAAAGCCTGAGGTACGTACATTGGGCCGTCAAGTACGAGGCCCATTCAATACTTTTCATTTTTACAGACACCATTTAACGGTAAAAGAGGAAAATGATCACATTCATATCCTAATAACTACGAGTCACTGAAATAATATTACAAATACACTTATTTGACAGTTCTTTACTTAAAGCAAGTAATTTAATTCAACCAACACACTACTAAACCGAGTAAGAATTTTTCGATTGGACGAGACCAGGGGAGACTGAGATAGGATTGCCGCACACGGAAAGTACCTATGGCTGAAAATAGATGGACACTAGCAAACATCACAGTCACAGATAGGCTTATTATTAATTTTAGTTGTTCTATTGATTTAAATTATAATTATTGATTCAAGTGATTAATATAGTCAAGTATAAAGGATACAAAACCTAATATCGTATTATAATTTTTTGTATTGAAACTATAATTGTGCTAAACTCATTTGACCTAAAATAGAAATAAAATGGCGGCATATACAAATATTTGTCTTTAACTTTGCTTAAATTCATAAAATAAGATATTTATAATTTGGCTATTTATTTACTTTCCGAAGGAGAAATTCTCTGAAATAAACTATCCTTTTTATTCTAAAGAAACGATTCGACAGATTGTTTTGCAAAATAATGAGCGCCTTATCAAGTTTCAACCAAAGGCTTTTAAAATTTCGAAATTGATGCAGCCGTTTATCGGGAAAAGGTCGACCAAGGATCAAATTTTGGCTAACATATTATTTACAATTTTGATGTCAAACTAAAAAATAATATAATATTATCAAATTGGCTTTTCTTGCAAGAACAAACTACGTATAGTTTACAAGTACTCATTCAGTATCAGTACTTCAATGACTTTAAGCAGAATCGTCCATTTACTATTATTACAATGTTATTGTATTTTGCAATACTTATTACAATTTTATTATCTTTTGCAATACGTACAGAACATCGAACAAATTTAAATAGGTAAGAAATAAATTGAAAAAAAGAATGCAAACATCTGTTACACAAACCTACATTAAATTTAGACTAATCAAACTAAGGCATGATCAGACACCAGAACAAGCTTGATGTCTTTCTGTTGTAGATTAATAAAAAATATGTAATTGACATTCTAGATATCATGAACCTTGCTTAGTCATATCGAAACAAATTACATGGAATGTAATGTGACCAGTGTAATTTTTAGTCAAAATTTGTTGTTGTTCTTTTGCTTTCTTTCCCACGTAATTTATGTTTTTTTTTAAATCAAATCATTTTTGAATTAATTTAATTTCACTCACTCAATCACTAAAAAGTTCATAAAGTGATGAGAAAAGTATAGCAAGGCTTAAGTATATCAATAAAGTATCATTGAAATTAAGTTCAAATGAGAAGCTTAAATTCTGATATACTTTAATTCTACTTTTAGCCTGTATTATTGTTTTAAGAATAGTAAATCTTATTACAAATTTTATACAAAACATTTAATAAAATACATAACATTCAAGACAAAATTTTAATTCACTCTGTTAGTACATAATGATATAATAAAACTGTTTCGATTTATATTTTGCTACTTGCCAACAATTTCAAATAGTGTATAATAAAGGTGCTTAAAAATCTTAGACTATCATTTTATATTTCTAATATGATTCAAAAAATTCATATGAAACATTATTTAAATAATTTATGTAATAAAATTAATAATAGAAATTACCAACAAGTTGCTCTGCAGTGCTAATAAAAATATCAATAATAACTAAAACATACCAGTAAATACGTTTCCATATTCATACCATTCATTTAATTTAATTTAAATTTGAAATAATTTAGTTTTTATAGCTTTATATTACTTGATAAAATATTAAAACCCAAAAAAATAAACTGTAATAAAAAACATTAATATCGAATGATGAGTTGATGCATGATTTAATAAGAGGACTATAATTTACATTTTATTTTCTTGATTATGCAAGAAAACAAGTTTAAATAGAATATATCACAAGTTATTATTTTAAATAAGAAAATAAAATTAAAAATTGAATTACTAAAATGTCTGATGAGAAACTACACTAAAGGTTGGAAATCAGTATTCAGTAAGCAAATTTTTGTTACCCCTCCATCCCTCATTTCTTTAATACGCTTTACATGACGTAACATTGCAAAAAAATTATTTGTCTGTTTATCAAGAAGTTTTAAACCTAAGTCACTGGCCGTAATGAATATTAAGTGCTTATCAGTTGTCGCCTGCAATCTTTTATATTCAAGATACAATTTTAGTTTGTCTTTCGAGACTTGATTTCTTGGTAGCTTTATCAAAGTGTATTTATCATAAACTGCCTCATTGATTCTTTTGATGAATTTGTTAAGTGCTTCCACATTCTGTCTGCCTCGCATGTACTCTGAAAATTTAAATGAACAATTAATTTTAGGAATGTGTAGAAATTTTTAATTTGTTCAGATTAGAAATTTTGCTTAGTATACTTAGTAATAATAAAAATAATGATAATGATAAAATTCAACTCCCAATTCTTGTTTTTTCAATATTTCAAAATTATGAGAGAAATAAATATTAAATAAATTTTTTCAACAATCAAGGGGATTAAGAAAAAAGAAACATATTACTAAAATATATGTTGATACCTAGTAAACCACAAAACGTCATTTATAAATTTATAAATTGAGTGTTAACCATTCAGCAAAAGAGATAAATTGTTATGAGGAAGATTTAAACTCAAATTTTATTTGAAAACTGAAAACTGAATGTGGTGAGTTTTTTTTATTTATAGAATTCTTATAAGAATTCTATAAATAAAAAAAACTCACCAGAATCCAAGTAATATTATTGTAACATTTTGTATATATAAGTTTGAGAATTTAACATTTCAAAACTAAATTGTTTATTATGACTTTATATAATATATAAAAATGATAGCATAGGTATGTGTTTCTGTTTATGTGTTTTAAAAATTATGTTCGTGTTTGCTTATTTGAATAAACTATGTGTTATTTGTTTGCTTCAAATTATTATTGATTAATCTCTTTACATAAATATCTTTTTTTTGCTTGGGATCCTATAACAATTGTTATATACACAAAATATACACTTTACTAATCAAACTGACAAATGTAAATTTGTAATTGTAAAAACTATATCTTGGCTAGGACCCAAAAACTGTTCTTACGTGTTTTTAATCAAAATCAACATAATATTTCCAAGAGTTGTATAAAATTAAAATAATAATGATCTTTGTATTGCATTCAAGTTCGAGCTATATTATTTATTAAATTAAATAAATAAATATAATATTTTTAAGCTGCCTTTATTTATTATATATATATATATATATATACGATATATATATATATATATATATATATATATATATATATATATATAAATAACATGCACGGCAATTTTTTTTCAAAAACTTACGTGGGATTGAGTCAAACTCTTCAGGTTCAATGAAAGAAATTTCAGGTACTCCATCAAAGGAAATTTTTCTGCTTACTGGTGTAAGTACAGGAAGATTACTTTGATTAATAGGACTCAATTCAAAATTGTGTCTATTTTCTCCCATCGACAAGTAATTTAAGTTTGGAGTATCACTAATATTGGCACAGGATGGATGAATTTCAATAACCACAGGTTTCGAACGTCTCAACTGATCAAGACTTTTTCTATTTTCTTGTAATATTTTCAGCTTATCACGTAGTTGTTCTTGCATGCTGACATTGTCGTGTGCTAATTGTTTTATCTCCTCAATAGTACGTTGGAAATCCATCAATTTTATTTCGAAATCACGTTTATACTGATCTGAGCAACTAGATAATTTTATTGATAATTCAATGAATTCTAATTTTTTTCTAAGAGGCTGATATATTTGAACTAATTCAGACATTTTAATAAATTATTTTTATAAAGTATATCGGTGTTTAATTGATTTGTTATAACATTTATTTTGAGCAAAGTAATTTAGAAACCAGCACTGTAATAAACTAAACCGAATGTGACCGAAAGATAGCTTTTGCAAAATTTTGTTTTTCTTTTTTTTTACTTTAAGAATCACTTTTAATTTATAAATTTATCTGAGTTGTCAAAATATAAATAATCAAATGAAGTGTCAGCTCAACCGCAAAAATCGTAAATGAAGTTAGGGATGTATTAACATAAATAAAAAGCGCGCAATTTAAATGTTGGTACTAATAAAAAATCATTTGATTTCAATTAATCCAACAATAATAAATTTAATTTCATTCAGTTTTCACAAATTTATTTCCAAATAACGAAATATAAAATTAAAGACATCACAAAGCCTTAAACTAAGTTTATGAAAACTCCAATATGATTTGATTTTTTTCCAACATTTCTAAAATAATAATTCAGTAGTTGGCAGTAGTATTAAAAGTTATAATGCAGTGTAGCATTAAGTTATAACACTTTCCTCTGATATAATCTATATCCTTATCATAAAATTTTATAGTCACAGTATAGCATGTTTATATTGAACTCTTTTTATATTTTGCTTGTAATTTAATTAACTCGTTAAAATTAAATTTTAGTATTAAAGTATGTGAATTCTTATTGTTAAAATAATTTTGATACCCAAGTAAATTGGAAACAGTTGTCTTTTATTCATTATTTAATATTTGTATTACCTACATTTATAAATATAAATTATTCTTTGTCTCTACCTGCTCAAACATTCTGTACACACACAACACAATACAACAATAAATTAAAAATAAATCACTGGTGCTTATTAATTCTTTATGCTTATTAACTTTTGTATACCACTCAAAAATTAACATGCACTGCCTTGATGTCCATGGGGCAAAATCTTAATGGAGAGAAAGCACTCTTAGCTTCGCTTAATGTTTTCAAAAATGTAATAGTCGTTTCGACATAAGATTTTGGTCTTCGAACATTAAACAATGTTGAAAAATCATCTATAAAACAAAAATTATTATGAGATTAAAGATTTACAATGTTATTTATTACTATTATTTCAAAATTGAGTCAAAATTTATTAATTAAATATATACTACTATTATTTTGTATGAATGTAGTTGAATGATCTTCAATATCCCAATGGCGCATATGGGACTTAAATAAAAAAGAAACGATTTTAACAAGTTCCTACAGCTCTTCTCACTATCAATATTTTAGTAATTGCATAATAGCTGAACTTTAATAACAATAATATGATTATGTTTAGTATAATATGATTATGTGAAGTATTCTCACCATTGAATCATCATCATTTTGTTGTCTTATACAGGAATCGTGTTGAGGTTTATGCATTAGAACACCAATTGTTGTAGCAGAAGGTGTATTTTCTTCTACTAATAGTGATGCAAGGAATACATCTGTAGGTAGTTTGCCCGGAGGTAATGAATCTGATGGATTTTTGGTTATTGAAGACTCTCTTAACATATGTTCAGGCCAACCATCCTAATTATATAAAAAATATATATTAGATGAAAGCTAAGTGAGATAAATATGAAAATATTATTTACAGTTATAATGAAAATGTGATATAAATAACAATGTAACAAAAGAACAAATAATATATCAAGAATAGCATGATTTCCAATTAATATCTTTTGAATGAATTTAAAATTTTCAGAATCCGTTCAGGATTTTTGACAAAAATTTTGCACATTTTTTCTAATTATAAAAAATGGCTCGACGGATAGTCGCGAAAAAATAATCAACTCGAAATCTTATCGAGATTTGATGAAACTCCATAATTTTTTAAATCTGCTCCAATTTTGATCTCAAACGATACCGAATTACTCGAAACGTCGTAAAAAATAAAATTAGCAAATCAGACAAAAACACTCTTCGGGAAGTTTATAATAATAAATATAAAAATAAACTTTGAGAACAATTTAAAACCTTCCATTTCTATTAAGCTCTATAATAATTTAAAACACTATTTACTCAATTTATATAAATATGTCATTTATTAGTGTATTTAAATTTAAAAAAATCCTAATACCTGTGAATACAACATTTTGTCAATTGGATAGTGCATTAGGTCTCTCTGCAATAATGCTTCCTTAGACAAATATCCAGCCGGATTTGCTGGTTCTTCGTCGTGCTGCTCTCCTGCGCACTTCCTTGTTTCTAAGATCAATTTAAAATGATTTAAGACTGGTTTATTATCCAGTACTCCCTGATCTAAACCTCTATTATCATCTTGATTCAAACGTCTGTCTTGCATTATCTGTAACAGAATTTAAATGACGCATTCATTAAATAGCTTCTTAAACACTCACTTTGGATTGCTACAGTTTGTGATTATTTTGAAAAATTTTTGTAAATAGAAATATAACTTTATTTGAATCTTGCTTCAGAAATTAATTTTAACAACCGTTTTTTTTTATTTTGGTAGAAACACTTATTACCATCAATTATGATAAAAAATACTACTAGTTATGACAACACGACTAAAACCCTAAAAGCATAACTATGATCACGTAATGCAAAGCCAGACTGGGCAGAAGGTAAAAATTGATTGGAACCCAACATATATAAACATATATATAAAATTTTAATTTTGTGTATTTTATCTAGTTCGTACTTGTTAACTTGCTAAATGATGGCACATATACAGTGTCCAAAGATACATAATAAATGGTTAAATCATCAATTGCTTTTCATAACAACTATTTGGTTGCAAATAAACTTTTTAAGAATATATAAGTATAAACTTTTTAAGAATATATACCTAAAACATTTTTTTTAAATTTTCAAAATTTTTTCCATGCTCTTTCCATACGAAGTTTGATTGAATTGCGCTCTATCTAAACGTTAATATTAAGAGCTAAAACTTTCAGAGAATTGTTTTTTATCAATTTGGAACCACTTGAGCCCCTGGGAACAAGGAAATTCGAAAATGACCATTTTAAGGACCACCCTGATATATATATATATATATATATATATATATATATATATATATATTATATATATACTTGATTACATGATAATGTACTTTATTTGAATTATAGCAAAACAAATTATTAACTTTTACCTCTAAAGTGCCAGATCGAGGTGATGTTCCTCCTAAAGGTTGTCCAGATATCAATGTCATCCTTCTAGTTTCATCCTGAAGAAACATGGCAGATGGTACAGGATAATAATTTGCTTGCAAAGGTAATTTATCAAAACGCTTTCTTCTAATCATCTACAATTTTTAACAGTAATTAAATGATAATGTTCAAACACTATTTCAAATTCATAATAAAATTTACTATTAAAAACAATGTCTACTATATTTTGTTTAAAAAGTAATACTTCTTTATTTAAGTAAAGTTATTAATATATTTACCTGCAAACCATTCAAATCAGTAAAGAATTCATCTTTGTTTGAAATGTCGGTAGCAATTCTCATAGCTAATTCCGCATTATGGGTATTAGCAACATCAACCAAGTTTCGTATTTCCAATATTGTAGATTCTTCATTTCTAGGTTCAGAAGACTGAATTGTCCTCATTATTGTTTCATGCAATACATAAGGTAAATTGACCTGCATATATATTATTTTACATAAGAAACTATTTTATATTAAACTCTTTTTTTTTCATTTCAGTGTGTAATATAAGTTTACACACTATAATTACTAAAACATTTACTATAATTACTAAAACAATTACTAAAACATGCATTTATGATTGTGAACTTTTCATTATGAGTAAAAAGATAAACTAAAGTAAAAAAGTTGATGATACTTTGGATTTATTCCAAGTAAAACACACTATTATTTTTTACTTAAATTAGTTTGATTATATTTTTAAAGTGCTATATCATAAAAATAAATATGTATACAATGAAAACTTCATAAAACCTAATGATCTAATGAGAATGTTAATGTGATAATTTACCTGAACTCTAGATTCTAATGGTCCTTTAATAATAACAACAACGGATTTTGAATCAAGTGAATTTTGTACGGTCTGGGCAGGCAAATCAGGTAGAAACAGATATGCTCCACTTCTCTCACCCCCTTTTCTAGCGCCATATCTACCAATTTAATATATAGACTTCATATAATATTACTAATTTCCTTATTGGTTATTAAATTTCTAATACAAGTTTTCTAGTTCAATCACATCCAAAATTCTCATCGACATCAAAACATCCAAAAAATGATGTCACAAGTCCATATTAAATTATATGTAAGCAATAAATTCCCTATTGAGCTGATCTACATAAATTAGGTAAATGAAAGCTATCATTCAGAATAATTAATATAATCTAATATAATTATATTAATAATAAATATAATAATATTATTAAATATAGTTATAATCAAAATATACATCAAGAATATATTTTTACTAAAAACAAAGTATGAGAGGCAATAAAAATCTCACATTAAACTTCCTGGAATGGATCTCTTTCATTCAAATCATTTCAATATTATATACATTACATATATATTATATATACGAGGTCTGTTCAAAAAGTACCCGGAATTTTCGTTTTTTCAAAAAAATATTTATTTATTCGTCTACATTAATGTCCCCTTCAAAGTAGTCCCCCCCAGATATAATACACTTATGCCAGCGTTTTTTCCAATTTTCGAAGCACCCTTGATATTCACTTTTTGATATGTCCTTGAGCACTCTCAGCGATTTTCTTCAATCGAGGAAAACCGCTGTCCTTTCATGGGTCTCTTCAACTTTGGGAATAGGAAAAAGTCACACGGAGCCATATCTGGTGAATTTTTGCACTTTGCAACACTTTATTTCATTTTTTACCCAAAATTTAATACAAATTCTTTGACTTTTCAATTCTTCCATTGTAAAAATCGCCGAGCTCAGAAAAACACGTCGAACCTTAGCGACTACCACAGACAAAGTAAACAGTGAATATAGCTGAAAATTTCATCATACTTTAGGGGCATGTATACCAACACAATAAAAAAAAAATTTTGACAATCAGACACTCCAGACCCGCGAAATTTAATTATTAGTAATTCCGGGTACTTTTTGAACACACCTCGTATATATATATATATATATATATATATATATATATATATATATGTATTATATATACATATATTGATACATTATTAATCATGTAGCGAGACTACAAAACTTTCTGTTTTAACTTTTAAATATTTTACTTTATAAACTTCCCGAAGGAGAAGTTCATGCTTTCATAAAAAAATCCGATTCGCTAATTTTATGTCTTCTCGACGTTTCAAGTCATTCTGAATCGAATGAGACCAAATTTGGAAAAAGTATGTGTGTGTATCTGTGAACAGATTTTTTTGCCGTAAATCAACGTATTCTCAAAAATGGCTGGACCGATTTAAAAAATTTAAAAGCCATCCGATGTATCTCGATGAGGGCTAGCGTTTCTCAGTTTTGTGCAACGATAGGCCTAGCCGTTTCTTTGTAAATCGCAAAAAAGTGAAAAAAAATCGTCCACGTTTTAGCCCGCAATTCTGAATCGATTTTGAAAATTCAAAAACCGCTCGAAAGATATTGGTTGAGAATAGAACTGATTAGTTTTTGGCAAAGATCGGCCTGGCCGTTTTCTTGTAATAAAGTGTTAAAAAAAATTTCGACGATTTTTATGAATTTTTTTTTGACGGTGGATATCATATTCTTATAGATCATACTAAAATATTACGGTCCTACGACAAATCGTTTAATTTTAAAAAATTGTCAAAGTTTGCAAAAATTAATATCGTTTTTTGGCGTTTGTCAAAATTATAATTTTCATCGACGTTTTCTCAGAAACGTCTGAACCGATTTCAAAAATTTAAAAGCCAATCGATGTATTTTGATGTGGATTGTCTTTTCTCAGTTTCGCGCAGCGATCGGCGGAGCCGTTTCTTTGTAATTTGGAGAAAAAAAAATCTTGTCGTTCACATTTAAGCTCATACTACCGAATCGATTTGAAAAAATCAAAAACTGTTTGAAAGATATTATTTGAGAATGATACTGATTAGTTTTAGGTGAAAATCTACCGAGCCGTTTTCTTGTAATTAACATTTGTAAAAAAAAATTAAACCGATTTTTATGGAACTTTTTTTGGCAAAATGTATCATGGTCTTATAGAACTTACTGAAATATTACGGCCTTACGCCAGGTAGTTTAATTTTAAAAATTCATCAAATTTTGAGGAAATAAGTAGTTTTGATAGAGTACTTGGTCTTAATGAACATACTAAACCATCAAAGTCCTATGAAAACTGGTTCAATTATAAAAATTATTGATTTTTGAAAATTTGCTTTTAGAAAATACTCCGACGAGTTAACGTGTTCGTCCGTTTTCAATTATGTGTAATAAATTCACTCAGAATACTTTCAATCACTCATAAATTAATTTATTTTTTATTGATTAAGTTGATTATTTACACATATCGGGAAGTTCATGTAACTTGCCTTCAGACAAAATAGCAATACCAAGAAGTTTCATTATAAGTTTTTTTTTTTTTAAATAATGTTGGTTTAATTTTTTGTGAGTGTTTTTCCTGGTGTGATACTGTTTTAAAAAAAATTGCTCAATGATGACACACATACCGTGTCGAAACGTACTAAATAAATAGATCATTATTTATTATAATTTTACTTTTACGATTGGCTGCAAATTAACATTTCAAGAATATGTCGCACTGTCATACAAAAAAGATCTAAATCTTGTATTTGATACATTTATATAACTAAATTAAATTATATATATATATATATATATATATATAATATACTATAGTATATAAAAATATATTGACGTTGATCTAAAATACTAATATAAAACTATTGACTAGATACTTTACTCACTTTACAAAACTCAAATGAATTGGCATAGGTTCATCATCAGGTTTTGTAATGGATTTCAATGTACCATCACTAGCAAATGATATGCTTTGTGTAACCACACCATCGCTGTCCAAGGCAACATCGACAGTAAAATCTCTTTGAGGTTGTAATGTCAGTGCACCAGGATATTCACCTAATTCAGATGTCACCTGCTGATGAAGTACAGAATTTTCATCTGTCAAAAGAGTAACAGATGCGAAAGAAGGTAATCTAAAAATAAAAATTAAAAAATCAATCATCATGCCTACAAATTAAGAATTGAAGTCCAAACCTCTTAAACATTCATTACCATCATTTTTAATGTAAAATTAAAATTCATATATACTAGAAGTATTTGGACTATCTGAGGTAGAAAATTGAAAATGGTATATCAATGTTTTTGGAAAATACCTTTAAGATAAGGTGACCATATTTTTTTAAGTCAAATCCGGCACAGGAGTATGTTAGTCATTTATATAACAAATGCTATTCAAGGATACAATAAAAAAAAAAACAGTTTTTTAAATGAATCTTTTTTTATCATAATCGTGAACTTTAAGTAAGAGCTTTCTACTTCTATGCATTATATGCAATACTTCTTTATCTATGATATTATATTTTTCGATCTATATGTTCTATTCAATTTTCTTTATATTTAATTTGAAAAAATATGCAATACTTCTTTATCTATGATATTATATTTTTTGATCTATATCTTCTATTCAATTTTTTTTATAATTAATTTGAAAAAAATTGCATCTGCTAGTTTCTTTTCTTAATTTTTGTTAATTTAACTATTAATTTTCAAAAAACCGGGACATCCAGAACAAAAAATCAAAATCCGGGACAAATATTGCTTTAAGAAAAACCCGGGACACATGGTGGAAATCCAGGACTGTCCCGGCCAATCCGGGACGTATGGTCACCTTATTTAAGATGATGTATATATACTTATATATATATATATATATATATATATATATATATATATATTAGAGATGGGCTTATCATATCCGAAGCCGGATCGACTCGGATTTGACTCCGCTCCAGGAAGGAGTTATATCCGCTAACAACTCCACGAGTCCGACAACTTTGAAACCGAAATACTCGACACAAATGTGTTCTATAGTGCGTTGTTTATGCATCTAAGGATTTGTCATATCCCATTTCATTTTTTTGAAATGAAAATTAATGAATAAAATAAAATTAAAAAATATCAATAAAATAATTTTTCTAAAAAATTCACAAATAAATGACGAGTTGTAAAATTTTTCGGTCGACCACATGATCGACTCAATGACTCGTAATTTTATCAGTGTTGGCCAAAGTAAACACGCAAAACTTAAGAATCAAATTCAATTTAATTTTTTACTTTTGATGAGAAAATAATTGATTTTTTTGATTAATTTTATATAAAAATAAAGTTGTAAACTTTGTAAAAAAAAGCAAAACATTTATCATAAAATATTTTCACCAAATAATAATACTTCTGCTTTCTATTTTTTTTCTTCTGATATTTTCATTTGAGAATTAATATTATATCGAGTAGTTCTATTAGCATATTATTACTTTTACACAAATATGCAATTGTGTAAAAGTAAAAATTTAATACTATATATTTTTTTCTGCTTAAATACTATTGACGTCACTGATATATTTTGCACTCTAAAAGTATTGTTATTTCAGGCTATGGAAAAACCAGATTAAATGTATTTTGTTTCGTGTATTTTTCGGTATGTATATTTCTGCTTGCCGTCATTCATGGCCAAAGATTGTCATAGTTAGAAATATGACCACTTACTATTCAATAAATTATACATTGGAGCTATTTACACTTGAAAACAATTTCATTGTTCCGTATCTTTGAAGTAATATTTTTGTATTTTCTGGAAAAAAACGTATACCTAAAAGGTCATAAACCAGCCTTTGAGACGAGAAAGCAACATCCTCCTTCCCAAAGCAAAAAATCAGTAACAGATTTAGTACCAGTTTAGGGAAGTCGGATATGACAAATCCGGCGAGACAACTCCACTCGGATTCACTCCGAGGGTGGAGTTGTATCTGAGTGATAACTCCGGAGTGAGTTACCCATCTCTAATATATATATATATATATATATATATATATATATATATATATATATACGTATATATACATATATGTTACGGTAAATGTGCACTCTTGGCGAATGTGCACATTCACCGGTAAATGTGCACATTCCCCAAAACGCTCGGTGAATGTGGAGCTCTCAAACAATCAATTTAAAATAATGGTGTACGTGCGTACTTGGATCGGCCTCAGGAACATCTCGCGTATTTGGCGCATGCGCAAAGAATTAATAGTTAATTGTTAGTTAAATAGTAAATTGTGAATAGTGATAACTGAATAGTTAAATAGTTAGTACATAGTTGAATAGTGAATAGTTAATAGTGAATAGTAATAAGTGAATAGCTATTAGTAAATAGTGAATTTAGAATAGTTAAATAGTGAATAGCTAATAGTTAATTAGTTATAAGTAAATAGTTAATAGTTAAAAAGTGAATAGTTAAATAGTAAATAGTTAAATAGTTAATGCTGAATAATAAATAGTAAATAATAAATAGTGAATAGTGATAACTAAATAGTTTAATAGTTAATAGTTAAATAGATGAATAGTAAATAGTGAACAGTTAATAGTAAATAGTGAATAGTTGTTAGTAAATAGTTGAATTGTAAAATAGTGAATAGTGAATAGTGATAACTGAATAGTTAATAGTAAATAGCAAATTAAGTAGGTGATAGTTAATGGTTAAATTGTTAATAGCTATTAATTAAACAGTTAATAGTTCATAGTTAATAGTTAATAGATAAATTGTTAATGATAAATAGTTAATAGTTAATAGTGAATAATGAATAATGAATATTAATATGCATATGACTAAAATAAATAATATAAATATAAATATAAATATAAATATAAATATAAATATAAATATAAATATAAAAATAAATATAAAAATAAATATAAATATAAATATAAATAAATATAAATAAATATAAATATAAATATAAATATAAATATAAATATATGATTTAGTATTTTACCCGCGCGTTGAACTCACATTCGCCAAATGAGCCGGTAAATGTGCACATTCACCGGTGAATGTGCACATTCGCCGAAATATTCACATTTACCGTAACATATATATATATATATATATATATATATATATATATAAATTATTTAAGTATTATATAAATTATTTAAGTACTGGAGTGAACCCATATCATATTTATTCGTATTATTGTGAGAAAAATATATATTTGACCTGAAAATTTTGAAATTTCAAAAACAAAATTATGTATTTGAAAAAGAATACAATTGTTAAAGAATTATGACATTCAGTTACTAATTGAATTTAAAACATTTTATTTATATTTGACCTTTTCATATTTTACTTTGCTATTACAATGAACAAAAAAATGACTCATTTATAATATCATTCTTCTACATATTAAAAAATATTTGTTATTTTCATACCCATTATCCGATGCTTCTGCAGCTTGGACAGCCAGTGCAATTAAAGTCAGTGCAGGAACTTTAATCATACAGCCCAATTGATACCTTACTGGTGAAGCTTGTGGTACACCTTCTGACCACAACCATACAGGTGATAATTGACAATGCACAGGACGATCTTTAGAATCATAAACCTGTTGAAGATTTTTTAACTCTTATAATACAGTTTATTAATAAACAGTTCATAACTATAAAAATTATTTTCTGTTTTGGTTGCAAATATGTTGAAACACTTTATATGGAAAATAAAGAATTAAATCTTTATACAAATTTTGTACAAGCAGTGAATATATATTAGTATGAATATTCATAAAACTCAAACAATAATATTAAACAAATTAAATTAATATTATATAAGAAATGCTATGTTTGAGTGACATAAAATTTACCTTTACATAAGGAGTTGATACATAAAACGACACAATTTCCTCTCTATCTATGGTCAAAGAATTCCATAAAACAAGTGTTCTAATTGGAGCACCATGACCTAATAATATTTTTTGAAATAAATAAGTAAAATAAACAAATATGAATAATTTACAAACGTTACTGAAGTATTAACAGTAATTCTCTTCCATACCTAATGTAATAGTGGGTCTGTCTCGAACTTTATCAGACATAAATCTGCTATCTTCTTCTGTTATGAAATCAAAATACACAAAGTCGAAATCTTGATGCCTGGGAGGTTTCGATAACATTGCAAATGTAGCTTGTTGAATAACACGTCTCGTAAACGCTAATCCTTCCAACATTCGCTTGGAATAATCCTGTACAACATGATCTCTAGCAGTTCCCGTAATACCATCATGATGTTGAAATAATGCAGATGCTTGACGAGCTGTAGATAAAAGTTGAGACATCTCTTGACAGATATCATCGGCAGCCCCATCTAGCACGCACCATCCATGTAGAATACTAGCTGACCTACAAATGAAAAAATAAACCATAATGATTTAATTTTTTTAATAAGTATGTCCAAGCATTCATAAGATTAAAATATTAATTATACATCGTTATATCAACTTATTAGAAGATACTATTGTTATATATTTTATGCAAAAGCAATATTAGCACTTAAATCTTATGGACCAAAAAATAAATAAACTTAATAAAGACTATTAAGTTAATTAAAATTAAAATCTCTGTGAAATCTATGTGAAATAAAACCCAACCTGATGTAGTGCATTAACACCCTATCTAAGCGTTTATAAAGTGGTCTAGATGTATAGTAACCACTCCAGTAGTGATCATCCCGATCGGCATATGTGAAGAAGTCACCAGACAATGTTGGAAACGCTGCTTCTTCCATTTCTTCGCGAAGCTAAAAAATGCAAATATCTTGCTATAACATATGCAAATGCACTTATGTGTAGATTATGTTACAGTTTCAAGCTATTCCAATAATAAATAATTAGTAGTAAAATTATTCTATGATGTTTCAAAAATCACGATTACCATTTTTGATCAAAATAATTATAAAATATCTCTGTAAGTTCAATAAAAGTTTTAAGCTAAAGGAGGTATTCAATTGTCATTTATTCGCATTTGTTCTGCAAAATATATTTTACCGTTTCAAAGTACTCTTTCAGGGTACCCCAGCCGGCTTGAACATGCAAATCTGGCCTTTCACGAAAGTGAGTAAATAGTTTATCGAAATTTTCTAACTGAGCATTCCATTCCGCAGTTCCATCCCATCGAAAATCATCTCCCAAAGGTACCAGAAGCGTTCGAGTTCGGTACAATACACTCTTCTTGCGCCACTGGTCTAGTAACAGTTCCGCTCTAGAAAAATGTGGAGATGTTTATAAAATATGTAATATCATTCATTAAAATGAAAAAAATCTGAATAATACGATTTGTAAATCACTGTAAAGGGTTTGATCGCGTTTCCATATAGAATTGGCCCCACCCTGGTATTTAAATGACTTTGTTGCCATTATATAGCTTTCTTCGAAAAAATTCTGTTTACCAAATTTCAACTTACTGGCTCATCATTTGGCCGAGATATCATTGAAAAGTGGCCCCCTATTTCATAGTCACTTTTTGTCACAACTGTAAAAGATATCGTCAAACAAATAATTCTATTCACATCGGTGTGGACTGTATTATTAATAACAAATATTGTTAAATAATCATTTGTTAGTTTATGAAAAAGTGAAAACAATTTTTTGTTTCAAATTTTCGAGTAGTGCGGTTGTTTGGACTAATTTTAAATTAGCATTGTTAGATTGGCTATTCGTTTTTCACGTTTATTACATTAATTACATTTCTTCACGTTTTGAAGGTTTCTGAACATTTTGGCACACTTAAAAAAATGAATGTGTGTGTATGTATGTATGGATACAATTTTTTGTTCACGATTTCGGGCGCACGGATGAACCGATTTGAATGGTTCAAAAAACATTCGACTCCTATTGATAGGGAGATGTGCTGATTAGTTTTTGGCAAAGGCGGGTCCAGCGGTTTCGGAGATGCTAAATAGGCAAAAAATGGCAGTTTTTGAGAGAACTAAGCGTCCGATTTGAATGATTCAAAGAACTTTCTGCTTGTTTTAACAAAATAATTGCTTTTAGAAAAAAATTTTTGTTTCAATTTTTGTTTATGTATATCAAAAATAATTAAGATTTTAATTGTAATTCTGACTTAAACTTAATTTCTAATATACTTTAAACAAATATTTTCAACTTTCAATTCAGTTTATATAACTCTTATAAATAATAGACAATGTTACAGTATTTATTTATAATGATCTATTTGAAAACATTTAATATTCCTTAAACATTTCGTTACGGTACGGGAAGTTCCAGCAATTTGCTTTAAGGCACGATGCCATACACACCACTAATTATATATTTGTATGTGTGTAATAAATTATTTCAAGTTCAATTTTATATCTTAAAATTTAATATTCGTTTCAAAATGCACAAATATATTATATGATTAATCCAAACAACCGCACTACACAAAAATTTGAAACAAAAAATTGGTTTCACTTTTTCTTAAACTAACAAATGATTATTTAACAATATTTGTTATTAATAATATAGTTCACACCGTTGTGAATAGAATGGCGTTATTTATTTGTCAATATCTTTTACGCTTGTGACAAAAAGTGACTTTGAAGAAAAGGGCCACTTTCGCATATTTTCAACGATATCTTGGCCTAATGATGAGCTAGGGAGTTGAAAATTTCTATATGGGATTTTTTTTTAAAAAAAAAGAGATAAAATGACATCAAAATCATTTAAATACCAGGGTGGAGCCAATTGTGTATGGAAACACAATCAAACCCTTTAAATCAACCTTTCGTTAACGGCGCGGGCTCTCCGAACAAAGAGCAAATTTTGTCGCCATTGTCTATAAAATCACCTAGAACATGGAAACCTTACTTTTACATGTTCAGGTTATTTTAATTATGATGTAAATCAAATATAGATAAGTTACAACTGTTTTATTATCATCCATATATAAGATCTTATTCGTTAAAATTTTTTGTCGTTGCGGAGTCTGACGCGTCTGTTCTTGTTTGAAATATTACGCGTGTAGTGGAAGGTTAGTTTAAAATTTTAGATTATATTTCAATAAAAATATAATTTCATCAAATTTTATCTGATTTGTCTTATATTATATTTAATAATTTATGAAGTAAAATATATATTTTAGACATTTAGACAGACTTATAATTAGCAAAGTATGATAAATTTAAAGGTTTTAGAAAACCTTTGAGTTAAAAAATAGATAGTAGTTAAAAGGATGTAATTTTCTGTATATAAGTAGTAAGTGTAATAATATCAGGATGGATTCAAATATTTTCTGAACCATTGAAACATTTTAATTTCGTCTCTTAAAAATGTGCTAAAAAATTATATTCTCTGTGAATTTTTTTATTATGTTATAAATATATATAAAAGTTCAAAGAATCGATTTAAAAAGCTCATTTTTTATTCCTTTGTGATCGCAATAACTTGCCCATTAAGTTCACTCTAATAGTAAAGCTATTCTGAATCCCGCAGCTGAATTGAAAATCTCAAAAGCATAAAAAGCTCAGGAGCATAATTTTTCTAAAATATGGCTGTTGGCTATGGAAAAGTTATAAAAAAGTTTAAAGATTCTTTTATTGTATTCTTTGAAAATCCGCCATAAGGGATTGGAATAACATGAGAATGAAAGATTCTTTAAATATATCACCAAGAAAATATTTTTTATATTTTCTGTGTAAAACAACAAGTTTTAATGGAAAATAAATGTAAAACAACCAAAATAGTTACATATATATAAACTGAATACAAAAGCTTTCCAATGAAAAAATGTTTAAAAACTTGGAAATACCTGTGAGCTACATTTTTTTCACTTATTCGTTGTGGTTGTATTCTCCAAGGACATGTAATACCATATCCAGGAAGTCTTTTAAAATCAAACTGACAGCAAATTTTTGGGTCTGGTCCGCAAGTGTGGGGAATATCATATGAGTAAAATGGTTCGGCATGAGTTAAAATATCTTGTTTTCCTGGTGCATCTATTTAAACAAATATAAGTTTTTAAGTATCATTAAGTATTAATATGACTTACAAACTTAAGCCTATAACATTTTTGAAAAAAACATAAATAACTTCATATTATTCATAAATAACAATACTATAGAAAAATATATTATTGCAAATAAGATTATGTAAAATATGATGCACATATATCTTTGACTATAGTATTAAAATAATTAGAATAAGTTAAACAAACCCCAGAGTTGTCGCCATCTAAATTCCAAATTCTTGTCCATAGCTAATTGCTTCTTGAGGGAATAATGTACTCTCTGTATTACCAAATTTTTTAGTCCAGCTTGTTTGTAAATTAAAGCTGTTGTAGGACTCAATCCAAATGGATCAATAGACCAACCTGCCACAGGAAAATCGGTCATGTTTAAGTTTTTATTCAACCAATGATGTCCCTCAGTTAGTTGCCAAGCTAAATTCACCCAGTGGCTATTTGCTTCATCAGGCATAACCCAGCCACCATTCACTATTTCTAGCTGCCCTCTCTGAATTAACCTTTAAACAAAATATTTCAAAAAATATAAATTAGATTATTTAAATATTAGTTTTCTAAATTATACCATATAAAAATGTTACACACAATAAATAATCAAATTATTATATAAATCACATTATTGGAAAACGCATATTGTACATATCAGTCATCACAAATGCTAATGTGTAACAATTTATATTTGAGAAAAATATTTACCATTTAGTAACTTTCTTCTGTTCATTTGTCAATTCTGACCACCACATTGCTAAATAAGAAATTTCAGCCCATATAAAGCGTCTGCTTGGTTCTTCCTGCATTTTTTTTAAATAAAAAAATTATATTATATGATTGTAAAAAGTAATGATAACTATTTAAGCATTTTCTAAAAAGTATGCATTTGTTAATAAAAATTGAAAAATTTTAGATGCATAAAGTTTTAATAAAGTTATGTATTTAATATGAAAAACAGACTGTTAATTTTAGAAACAAAACAAACCTGTAAATAAGTGATGACATTATTTAATATTTTCTTTGTTTGTGCAGTGAAATATTCATCAAGTGTTTTTATCCACCCTGGATCATTATGAGAATGTGGAACCACAAAAACTTTTAATACATGACCCCTATTCCATTGTTCTGGCTTATATTGTATGTTCCATCCTTGCTTCCAAACACCACCATCTGGATTGTCAAATCGGAGACGTTCATACATTTGCAGCATCTGTGTATGACAAATATTAATACCCATCCAAAACAATACACATTCATAATACTACTTATATGAATTTGTATAAATAAATATTTGTATAATAAATGACCATTTATTATGTGAATGTAATAAGACTAATAAGATTAAAATAAGTGTTGTAATGTTTTTAATACGGACCTGAACATCTGAATGGGGAACATCATTTTCTAGTGATGGACATGTCAAACCTGATATTTCCTGATCAACTAGTAAATCTTGAATCTTCTAAAAAGCATATAAAAAATAATTAATTGATAGTATTTTATATTATAATAATATTACAAATTATATTCTCGATCTAAAAAGCGAAGTACATAAACACCTGCATATTAGACACTCCATTAGGCAATGTATCTCCCTTAAAATCAAATTGTTTATGTTTATCAGAAGTTTTAAGCTGTTTTACAACTTGTTTAATTTCTATAACATCTGCATGATGGGAGCTTAGACCAGCTTCCAGCTGACGTAACCTATCTTCAAAACTCAACCATTTATTCTAAAGACATTTTACAAATTGTTAGATTTGTTAAAATAATTCAAGGCAAAAAAATAAAAAAAAAACAATAGTTTGACAGAAAAAAGACTCAAACACAAACACAACAAAGAGCATTCGATCAAGCATGAAGATGACTGTAACTGGCTTTTAGGCATTAGGTGGCTTTAGGTAATTAGGTGAAATCAGGTATATTTAGACGTGTTAATTGTCCCTATGTTATTGATTAGTATAGTAATATTGTCCCTATGCAACTATTAGAATAGATTTTTTTTTAATGCTTTCTAAAGACTGGACTATTTACTGAGAGTTTGTATATCGATTACATATATATATATATATATACAGATTTTAATAATCCTTTATTTAATAACAAAATATACAAGAACATGGTAAAAAGCAATTGATATTACAAATTGTTTGCAATAAAATGCAGTTTCAGCAAAATTGAAATTTTTAGCTATACATATTATAGCAACTTGTTTTTGTAATTGGAAACTCTACATATCATCAATTAATGTAAATAAGATGCTTTTTCTAGTTGTTTCACTAAAATGTTACAAATATTACACATCTATTTTAAATGATTTATAAATTCTACTTTTAGTACATACTTTGTTTTCATCTTCATATTTAAGAATTTGTGGTTTTGGTGTTATTGTTTGATCCATCATTAAATACAACAAAACACATCCTATTAAAAATAATAAAGTGCCTGATAGGGCAATAGTTTTTCGAACCCTCATAATATATTAATATTAGCGAATTCTCATAGCTGATAAAAAAAATATTTTAGTTTTTGGTTATGTTGAACCGTTGAATATATTTTTAGAAATAAATATCTATATATTTTGCTGATAATAACAGTTAGTCATTCAATTTCTTTAAACGATACATTTTATTTAAAGTTTCAATATATTTAATTATTTGCCATTAAATTTTCAAATATATGCACTCTTTTTACTGCGGCACTAGTATTAACAAATGTCATTTTCGAATTCTGAATTTAATAAGATGGCTAGCTACCGGTTCATAATTTTTAACTTCCCGAAGGAGAAGTTTATGTTTTCATAAAAAAATTCGATTCGCTAATTCGCTATATTTTCTCAACGTTTCAAGCCATTCTGAATCGAATGAGACCAAATTTGGAAAAAGCATGTGTATGTGTGTGTGAACAGATTTTTCGCAGTAAATCAACGTTTTGCCAAAACCGGCTGGATCGATTTCAAAAATTTAAAAGCCATTCCATGTATCTCGATGAGGACTAGCGTTTATCAACTTTGCGCGACGATCAGCCAAGCCGTTTCTATGTTAATAGCAGAAAAATGAAAAATTTTTCGTCCACGTTTTAGCCCGTAGTTCTGAATCGATTTTGAAAATTCAAAAACCATTCGATAGATATTGGTTGGGAGCAAAATTGTTGATTTTTGAAAATTTGCTTCTAGAAAATACTTCGAGTTATTCGTTTACGTTTAAATACGTGTTTGTTCGTTTTCGATCAAATGTAATAAATCCACTCGGAATACATTTAATCACTCATAAATTAATTTATTTTTCATTGATTAAGTCGATTATTTACACATATCGGAAAGTTCATGTATTTTGCCTCAAGGCAAAATATCAATACAACTAGTTTAACATGATCTTAGAAGAGCTGAATCCGATCATCATATCATAATCTTACCAAATCTGACCATCATTATCATTTCCGATTTGAATGGCTATTTTTCTATGGAACGTTGACCCAAAATTGTTGAGAAATTTTTCCACCAAAGACAACTCTAATTGTGTTGACACTTTAGCATTTGACAAAATCGTTGCGTTTACTTAAGCCGACAGTGGGTTAAAAAGTTATTGCAATATTTGTTTCAAAACGAAATTGTTCTTCAATAATATTTAGTCACTTTGTCCAAAATATTTAATAACTTTTAAAGATTATTCAAGATCCATTTATATATGTCATAAACTGGTATTATAAATCAAAGATTATTTCATTGAAAATAATTGTGAAATTTAAAAACAAACAACATTAATAAAATGCACAAATATAAGAATTAATTTTAATTCTTATTTTAATGAACTATTAGTTTCTGATGCTCAATCAAAATCAACGTTGTCCTGGCTTATATTGTGGACGAACTTTCGACAATGAAAGTTGGTCTGAATGTGGTGCTTGTCCAAGAGGGTCGCGCACAAATGCAAGCTCTATTTGCAATGTATGCGAAGCCGATCCTAAATTATATGATTGGATGTATTTAGGATTTATGGTTCTCCTACCTCTAGTACTGCATTGGTTTTGTGTAGATCTTGTCGCTAAACGAAGAAGGTTAATATATAAATGTATTAAAAGAGCTGAATTTGTAAATAAATTTCTTAACTAAAGTGATTAAAATTTGAAATTACATTTTATTTTTTACTTTACACTTAAAATAATACACTCTTATTATCATACTTGCTCATTGCTCAAGTTATTTTTAAAACTTAAAGTAATAAGTTTCGAGGAAAGTACTCTATTATGATAAGAAAGTTTAATGACAGTTACTTTTGCCTAGAGTAAAAGTGTTTTATTTCTGACTTTATTAGAATGAATAAGTTTATGCTAAAAAAATTAATAGATTTTTGTAAACTTCTTATCTACAGAATTGAATATAAAAATAGCTTTTTATATGCAAATTTCATTTAGTTTCAGCATCCAAGTATTCATTCTACATTTGAGTTGTTTATTTGAGGTAGGAATTGCTGCATTTTTCACTATATTGTGGGTGGAACCTACTTGGTCATTTAGAGTTAAATCTTGTGGTGTTGTTCGCTTAGCCGACTGGTACACTTTGCTTCACAATCCTACCCCAAATTACGAAAAGGCACTTCACTGCACACAGGAAGCAGTTTATCCATTGTAAGTTAAATGATAACTCAAATGTAAATGTATTATGCATTGTAATCACTGTTCTCATTTGGTCTAACTGAAAATTATCATTATGATGTTACGTTATGAGAAATAAATATAGATTGTTCTATATAATAATTGCATTTCAGACATACTATGGGTTTTGTATTTTATGGACTTTGCATAGTTTTAATGCTTTCTATAAGACCATATTTGAGTAAAAAATATCTACCACATACTGGTAAGATGGCTATATATTATGCACTTTATTTTTTTCCAATATTGGCTTTGTTACATGCCGTTGCTGGTGGTTTGATATGTAAGTGAACCTTATATTATTCACTAAATATTATCTAATTTCATACTATATATAACTAATTTTCAGACTATGCATTTCCATACATAACCATTATCTTATCTGTTGTATCAAATGCTACACATTTCTCTTTCAAACTGGATCAATCAATGAAGGATTTAATTCGATCTTCGATTGCTGATTTGAGGAATGCTATTATCATCAGTAGGTTGAATTTTGTACAGCATTTTGTAGGTTATGATATTGCATTAGTATTTGAACAATTTCCATGTTAAATCATTCATTTTTTAGTTAACGTCATGATTTAACAATGAATCATTTCATTTTAATTCTTAACCATTCTTCACATAATAAAATGATAAATAAATATAGGGTGATTACAAATTAATTGAACATTCCACAATCATTAATATCTTATTCTCACAAATTATATTTTGTGTAATCTAATTTGAATTAATTTTTCTTTCAGTGGGACATTGGATTATACTTGCTTATGGATTATTAGCACTAACTATAGATAAAGGTGTGCCACATCCCTTTGTTTTATTGACCCTGGTACCACTACCAGCTGTTTTCTATATTCTCACATCTCGATTTACAGATCCTAATAAAATACACACTGATTAGCAATAAAATATTTGTATATTTATTTATTGCAGATATATTTCATTTTGTACAATGTATGAAAAGCTCAGATGTTTAATTGTATAATTCCGGCAGGAACTATAAACTAAGGTCTTGTGTGTTTGTTTATATTTAACGTATGTGGCCAGTGCGTGACTATTATTTGTCAACAAATTCAAAGTTTTTATAATAAATTAAGTTTTGTGGCAATTATTACTCTAACTGTTTGATCAAAAGAACCACATATGGCTAAACCAGTTCTGTCTGGACTCCAATCAAATGCACATACTGGTTGTGTGCTGACAACTGTACTTTGAATCAGTTCTAAGTTTCCTGCAACACCTTGTGGTAATCCGTTTGGCCCCTCCTTCGACCTTTTATCTGGATAATTACTAGAAAAGTGAAATTTGAATTATTGTTTTGCTTATGAACATATAAATTTTATAAAAATAATTTGTTAGCCTTAAAATTGAAACAATAATCAATTTATGGTTCAAGGAGTATTTTTGATATATTGATAATTTGGGCCTTATTTCAAAAGACTATGTATATATATATATATATATATATATATATATATATGGGTAGTACTGCCCTAGGGCAGGTCCATGAGCTGAGTTAAACTCCAACTCGGTGCAGGAAAAAATGGTGTGAGAAATTTACCATTGGCATTTCACAGTGCAGTAGTTTTCAATTGGAAACATATTTTTTATCTATATTTTTAAGTGAAAATTGGTATCACTACTGCAATATATCAAGTTATCCAGAGCGGAATTTCGAACTCACGACCTCGTCCACACGAGTCCGCATGTTCGACCATCACACCATAGAATACCTAATATAACATATATATGTTTGTACATATTTTAAGCAAGATATATATGAAAAATAAATCATGTAAAATCATATTTATCTAATTCTATAATAATATTAAAACAAAGAAGAAACTCAGCATCTTGACAGCTTTGAAATAAAGAAAAAAAAAATTCACACCATCAGCACACAAATTCATAATCACATTAGAGCTTTGTTTTATTTCTCAAGTTTCTTACTATTACCTGGGCAATACTTTAAAATCAACTAAATATATACTAAATTTCTATCCGCTATAACAAAATCGTCCGAGCAGATATTCTCATACACATAATCATTAAGACATAAAATTATTACATGATACAATTTCATGTAAGACAAAAGTTAAAGTTTTCAAGTTAAGCCAAAAAATACATACTATTTCCAAACCCTCACGCTGCCAGAGCCCCCACAGCTAGCAAATATTTCTCTATTTTGAGGTAAATGTTTAGCAAGCCACACTGTAGCTCTTGATTTATTCCCATGTACACCTGTTCCATAGCCTCCACCTGCTCCTTTTTCTGTTACACAAGCAAAACCCTTTTCAGGATGTTGTGTTCTTAAATCCCAGCAATGTAAACCACCTTCTAAGGTCCCACAAACCAGTTTATTCATTGGAATATCTTTTCGGTCAAATTCTAATCCACATATTCCATTACGAACATTGGTTTCCCAGCGAACCTAAAATAAGGTAATAATACGTTTATTTCATAATTTTTGAGTATTATAAAGACTAAATTATAGTTCATCTATCCATTCGCCATAGTATGTAAATATTAATTTAGTCATTCATTGTGTCATATATATATATATATATATATATATATATATTTATATACATGTATGTATAATAAAATAATTTGGGTAAAAAAGAACCTTCATTCTGCGCAAATCAAACATCTTAATATCTCCATTATCATATCCCGCACACACAGATCGGTCTTCCTGATTATAACTGTCCCCAAATGCAACACACCAACAATCTCTTCGTAGATCATCTCTAGAAGGCTCCATCACGGCTACTGGTGCACCTTTTTGCCTTAAATCCCAAACTTTAACTGCACCTTGATTTGAATCAAATTTCTCAAATAAATTAAATGTAGATACACATTTCAATAAAATAACATTTTTCAAATTTAACTTGTATATAAGAAGCTTTAATTTATTAGAAATTATAAGTAAAAATATACTCACTATACTTATAATTTTCAAACTATTTATATTGATTTATATAAACTATGATAAAGGAATATGTGGGTGTATGATAAAGGAATATGAAACTGCTATTTTATTTAAATAATTAATGTAATTGAACATTTGTAAGATATGGTTTAAAAAGTTAAAGATATATAAAATCATAAAAGGATTCAAAATATATATTTCAATTTGTACCATCTCGACTCCCAGTAACCAGTTCAGGTGCACCACAATTGATTGTAGTTCCACCTACTCCATCAATGGAATTTATAATATCTTGATGGGCTTCTTCAGAATACACAGGTATATTAGTATCTTCAAGATCCCTAAAAGTATTTGATATGTGTATATATATATATATATATATATATATATAAACAGTTTTATTGAAAAACGTTTTTATTAAGAGAACATACCTTTCCGGTCTTGATATGACCAATCTTCAGTGCAAACAAATACATTTTGAAAAATAACACAAAAACACACACAAATTTGCAACAAAAAAAAATAAATATGAAATAAAAAATTGATAAAACGTCGAGTTATGAAGATTTTAGAAAAATTGTAAAATTAAAATAATATATTTTATTATAAAATGATTATATATATATATATATATATATATATATATACATTTATTTATGTCCACAAAAATATTTTTACCATATTTGAAGTCGACCACTAAAATCTCCTGTAGCTAAATTTCTGTCATGTAAATTTGAAGCCCCAAAAGTTGCACATTTAAAACTACATTTTTTCTCAAACTCCTTCAGTAACTCCAGTTTTCCTGCATTTATTTCATATATTTGCACCATGCCTGTCCCTCGAGGAGTAGACCCAAGAACAACAAATTTTGCTGAACATGGTATCCATTTTGTATCAAATATTGTATATGTTACAGATTTTTCTAAATGAGCAATCAGTTGCGGTTTATCCATTTTTGTTACTACACAAAAACTTCATTTGTTTGGTCAATAAATCTTGATCTGTAAGGTTAATCAACGTAAGACTACATTGCGCACTATTAACCACAACGCAAAATTTTTATTGGCATTGCAGGCAATAAAGCCTAATACTCCGATACAAGTTATTAAAATAGTATTAAATACTAAATTAAATCTGATTTATTTTGAATTTTCTACGTTTTTGAAATAACCATTCATAACATCTTCAATGTTTTTATTTAGAATTATTTTGCAGAGGTACCAATCAACACAATTATTTTCTCATGTCGAAAGTTGAAATATGTCAAACGACAGTGCTGCCAACCATTTGACTAAACTTATAATCAGGGCCGGTCCTGGGGTCCTAAATAAAAGATATGAACGCGGGGTATTCTAATATTGTCTAGGCGTATATGCTTGCTCAGATGAGTATAAGATGCAAATAAATTACACATTTATAGTATGATATTGAAAAAACTTGTAAATTTCATATCCAAATAGCTCTCCACGAAAGTAAGGCGTATTATTATATTGTCCCCACGAGAGTAAGGCATTTATTATATTGTCTAAAAGAAGAGTGGTCTCTAGGGTAAGGCGTGCCCGTGCCCCCGCCTTTTCCGCATGTATCGCATTCAAGGCTCTGCATAATTAAATTAAAACAGTAATCAGAATTTTCGTTCTATGAGCTCGAAGTGCTCGAACCATAGACAAAAGAAGAGTATGGCTAGGAGAAAGAGAAGTTCGAGCACTTCTCTTTACGCCATATTTTCAGATGATATCCCAACGGTTAACCTATTCATATTTTGACTTTTTTAACTTCCCGTAGGGTAAGTTATTGTAATGGGCCGAAAATCGGAATTGAAAATTTTTACATTTCTCGACGTTTTGAAGGTTTCTGAACATTTTGGCATACTTCAGAAAAAATGGATGTGTGTGTGTGCGTGTGTGTGTATGTATGTATGGATACAAATTTTCGCCCACGTTTTCGGGCGTACGGATCAACCGGTAAAAAGGCGTACGGATCAACATGGTAAAAAGTTCAGAAAATACAAATCGAGTTTTTGAGAGAACGGAGTATCCGATTTGAATGATCTAAATAACATTGAGTTTGTAATGATTGTGAGATGAGGTGATTAGTCTTTGGCAAATGCAGGTCCAGCAATTTCGAAGATACTGAGCTAAATATGCAAAAAATGGCAGTTTTTGAGAGAACTGAGCGACCGATTCGAATGATTCAAAGAACTTTCTGCTTGTTTTGACAAAATAATTTGTTTCAAATTTTTTTTCAAGATTTTTTTTTTTTGTATATCGAAAATAATTTAGATTTTAATTCTGACTAAAGTTTAAAACTTATATACTCTAAACAAATAGTTTTAACTTTGCAATTCAGTTTATATAATTTTTATAAATATTAGACCCTGTTACAATATTTATAATAATCTATTTGAAAACATTTAATATTCCTCGAACATTTCGTTACGGTACGGAAAGTTCCAGTAATTGGCCTTAAGGCACGATGCCATACACCCCTAGTTTATATATTGATTAAGTCGTCTATTTACAGATATTAGGATTAGAGAAAGTTCATGCGTGAGGACCACTCACAATCAGTTTAATTTTTTGATTTTCGAATGAATTTTTTTTCCTAAACTGCAATAAAACATATATTCGCAATACGATTAGAAAATCCTTAAATTTTAGGGTTTTTGACTCCGCTATTTGTCTACAATCAGTTAATTATTCAAGTTATAAAATGTGTTTGGTAACAAAATACATAAATGAAATCATTATGAAGTAATTTTGTTGTTGAATTAGTGTTTCATCTAAGTCCTAAAATAGGCTCAGGGGGGGTCATGAACCCCGTGCTCCCCCCTGGATCCGCCACTGGGCGCACCTTTATATGGCCCAGAAATAGATGACTCGGTTTAAGTAATTCAATAATTCGTATTTCTGTACGTAAATCCAATGTGAAACTTTAAACGCGTTTTTCTCAAAACTATTTTTTTGAACTGGTGACAACTGTAACTCAAAAACCGCTTATGTAAATTTTAATGAAATTTATACAGCTTTTAGAATACATAATAAACTCGGGCCTGATCGAAGGATTTTTATTATTTCAAAAATTTAAATTTTTTAATATTAAAGGTTTTATAACGTATTGTGGTTTACTAGAAAATATGCAATTATTAGCACAATCATGAAACAAAACAATCATGACGACCCTAGTCAATACTAGAATAAGATGATGGCCAACACATATTTTGTAAATAATATAAGTAGATATAGAAAAA